CACACACACACACACACACTGTGTGTGTACACAAAATAACATACATGTCCACACACACACACACACACACACACACACACACACACACACACACACACTGTGTGTGTACACAAAATAAAAGGCCAAGTAGGAATTTTATTTTATGTAAAAGCACTTAATGCTCTTGCAGAGGACCCAGTTTGGCTTTTAGCACTCCATGTCATGTGGCTCATAATTGTCTGTATATCCAACTCCAGAATATCTGATGTCTACATTCTGTTGTCCTTAGGTATATATGTATACACACAGTTACAGACACACACACATAAATCTTTTAAAAAATAAAAAATCCAGTCAGTGATGGTGCATGCCTTTAATCCCAGCCCCCTGGAGGCAGGTAGATCTCCATGAGTTTGAGGCCCACCTGATCTACAGAGAGAGTTCCAGGACATTCCGGACTACACAGAGAAACCCTGTCTCAAAATCAATCAAACAAAAAATAAGAAAGAATTTGTTTAATTATGGTGTACAATACATTCATTCACTCACACCCATTAAGTATGTCACTGTGAAAATACATTCAGATAGAATTTTTATGTTTTTTGTGATCAGTGCTGCCAGGCAAGTCATTGTTAAATAGTATGTTCTTTATTTTCAAATACTTGGTTTCTTTTCTCAGGAATTTTTGCTTTTCCTGTGTTGACACCATTTCTGTCCTTGTCTTTACTCCAGCATATTTTTACCTTTCTAAGTATTCAAAAACATATATCGTTTAGTAGTAATTTTGAAGTTGGAAGGATTTCTGCCTAAACTGTTAAGTAGTCAGTAGTTAGGAAGAATGTTTTAGAGAGGCTAAAATTTGAGTATAATGTTAAGAGCTATAGATGGAATTTCTGTCCCACCTAGTCCCTCAGCTGTTCAGCTCCAAATAGACACACAGAGACTTATATTAATTATAAACTGTTTTGCCAATGGCTCGGGCTTCTTCCTAGATATCTCTCTCTTAATTATTAACCTATAACTATTAATCTGTGAATTTCCACATGGCCTTATCTTACTGGAGAATGCCCAGCGTTCTGTCTTCCCGGTAGCTACATGGTGTATCCCTTGCGGTTCCTCTTTCCTTTCTCTTCCCAGAATTCTCCTAGTGTGGGTACCCCACCTATACTTCCTGCCTGGCTAATGCCTTATCAGCATTTATTTATCAACTAATAAGAGAAATATATATTCATAGCATACAGGACATCCCCCATCAGAGGGCTTTCTTTATACCTCTGCATGTTCTAATGATTTTTACTTACAACCTTGGTTTTTGCATTTGTGGGCAACAACAGTGACACTTACCTGTTAGTGTCAGTATGGAAATGTGGTGTATTGGCAAAATCTTCAGAGTACAATGTAAAGTACATAGGAAGTTCTCAATGAATAATAGCTGCTGTTGTCTTTATTACCATCACCATTGCCTGTTTTTCTTGACTGACAGCTTTCACTCTCTGAAAAGTTCAAAATTTAGTTATTTTTTAAAGGCATTAAGTATTAATATATTTTGAGAAGCTAGGTATAAGAAATTTTATTGCTTGAGTACATTTAAAAGAAAACATGCCTGGTAATAAAATAATCGAATTCCTTCTGCCCCTTTTACACTGTTAGATAACTAGTCACTTGTTTCTAGACAACTCAAAGTATCTAATAAGTAGGGATTCACTAATTTTTCTGTTTTATTAACTTGAGAATTTTGTTTTGTTTTATTCATTCATTTATTTATTTGTTTTGTTTTGCTTTGTTTTGTTTTGTTTTTCCAGACAAGATTTCTCTGGCTGTCGTGGAACTCACTCTGTAGACCCAGCTGGCCTCAGACTATCGATCTACCTGCCTTTGCCTTCAGTGCAGGGATTAAAGGTGTCTGCCACTACACTACCACCAGCTTAACTTGAGAATTTTTCATGAATACAAATAAGAGTGTATGTTTAGGTGTTAGGAATACAGTTAGATACAGCAGTGAGGAGTTTCCGCATCGGCTGTTTCTTGATGCTGCTCTAAGGTTCCCCAGTCAGTGAGCACATTTGAGTACAGATACCTTTCAGTTTTTCACTTTGAATTTTCATTGGTTTCATATTATGCTTTTTCATTTGTAGTGAATATCTTATTTCATGCTAGGAGGAACCTGCCTAGCTGAGTGAAACTTGATTTGTTGACTCTAAGTGTCAGTTTTAAAGGAAAGAAAAACCCAGACAAGAACTCCTTTCGTCTGTTGAAGGCACTTTGAGGAAAGTTTCCTTTTGAATGGGCCTATTCTGCTGCAGCCAGCCTGCCAGGACTATTGAGGTTAGAACCTATCACTTATACCCTGGACCACATATGCTGGTGGTTCTCTACATATTTGCCTAAAACAAAAGTAATTCCAGCCAGCTCTTGTTTAAACCAGAGGTATTTCCTTCTTTTAATGTCAGTGTTATGATAGGTCTTTATCAAATTGATCAGAAGTAAGGTTTAGGTTTCTGGTGGCTTTGCCACCTTCTCTTACTGCTACCTTACCAGCATGCAGAATGCTGAGTTAATCTCTAGAAATGTGTCCTATGCTTGAGTAGATTGTAATGCAACAAGGCTATCATTTCCACATTTTCTGCAGAGCTGGGAAATGCTGCCTTCTTCCCACTGGCTGGTTTAATGCAGTGGTGCAGTTACTCCCTTATACCAGGGAACTGAAATCAGATCTTGCCTAGATCTCAGGCATCAGGTAATGTTCGGGATTTGAAAACACCAAAGCGTGTGGGAAATAAAGATTATTTGTATCATTGAATTCTAGGGAAAGGTTAATCCTTTGCTTATACTTAATTGGTGTGACCCGTCGTGTATTTGCGTTATGAACTGTGTTATTGGCTACACAGCTGACATAGTGAACCAGAAGGAGGCTTTGTTAGCAGCATGCCATCTTGCTGCTTCAGAGCATCAGTTGATTGGTGCTGCATTTGCGTAGTGGTTGGGTAACTAGCATTTGAAACAGGTTTGTGCCCACCTCCTGCTAGATAAAGGAAATCCCAGCTGAGTAAAGCATCCCCAATTATAAAATAGATCATCTTATAGTTGTAAAATACATATTGGGGCCCAGCTGTTGTGGCACACTCCTTTAATCCTAGCACTCTAGAGGCAGAGGCAGGCAGATCTCTGAGTGTATTAGGCCAGCTTGGTCTAGAAAGTGAGTTTCAGGACAGACAGGGTACACAAAGAAACTTAGTCTCAAAAACAAAACAAAAACAAAACAAACAACAACAAAAACAAAAACAACCAAAAATCCCCACATATGGAAATCCCCCTGATATCTCAAAATTTTTTTTTTTTTTTTTTTTTTTTTTTTTAGTAAATATCCAGAAGCAAGTGAAACTTGGAAATTAACTAGGTTGAAAAATTCGGGAGATTGTATACAAGTGAGGGAATCATGGCCTTGGACTGATTTAGTAAGAAGTAGGTGCAGTACTTATAGCCTATGAAAAATTGATACAATAATGGGTCATAGGCCATGATGAAGACCAGTATATGACCAACAGTGACAGTGTGGGATTCGAGGGGCATGGACTGCAGGTGAAGAGAAGGCCTTCTGATTTTAGTGTCTGCAGTTCTACTCAGTACCTACAGATAACGAGGCCATTTGTGCCTTTTGCCTTTGGGAAGTTTAATGGGCATGACTGACCTAGGGAACCATGTTAGAAAAGGCATGCATTTTTACACCAGAACAGTAATAATACTAAAACACTAAGAAATGAATTATAAAATCATCTGTACCCTATAGGGAGTTCTCAGAAATTTCATCTGTAGTTTCAGAAGTGAGAGAAAATCATCCTAGGTAGATTGTATAACAGCGAGAAAGAAATATATTTTACTTATCAATCCTCTATCCAGGCTTTAAAATTAGTCTACTAAGTAATGGATATTAGCCTTGAATTTGATTCATGCTTTTCTCTTCTTCTTCCTTCCTCACTGCTTTGCTGCTCACTCTCACCTTGATGTTTTCCTTGTGCTTTCATGTCCCATGCAGTCTAGCGCTTTCTCACCCTTTGCTTCCCCCTCCCTTATGGCCTCCTCTTTCTCTCTCATGGTCCTAGTTTCAAACATGCTGACACACATTGGTCTTTAAATCTATGTTTCCCATGAGAGAAAACATCTTTTATATTGTCTGAGTTTGCCTTATTTTGCTTAACAGTGCCAAGATTTCAGTTTTTTCAGTGGTTAAATAAATTTAAATGTAATAGTATTGTACCACATTTACCCATTTATTTGTTGATGGGCATTTAGGTTGGCTCCATTTCTTAGTGGTTTCGACCAGTGTAGCTGTTAACACGGTTGTGTAAGGACTCCTCTGACTATCCTTAAGAGTCTTTTGTGTCTTTTTACTTAAAATGGTTAGTGGATCTTAAAATGGTTTCTGATGGAATCTTTAGTCCTTGGTGGTACTATTTTTGTTCCTCCATATTGATGAGGAAAGTCTGTAGTGATTTCCAGAGGGGTTGCATCAGTTACATCTCGTGTATGTCTGTTCCTTATCTTAAAGTGTTTTTCTCCAGCAGTTTCAGAGTTTCAGTTCTTACGTTAAGATCTTTCCTTCATTTCAAATTATTGTTATTTTTTGGCATATGAGAGAGATAGAAATAATTTTATATTTGTACATTTGGATATTCAGTTTCAAAGTACCATTTTTAAAAATGGCTGTCTTTTCCCAATACATGGTTTGACACCTTTGTTAAAAAGTAAGTGGTGGTAGTTGTTTGAGTATGGGTTCTCTATTTTATTGGTCCACATGTAAGCTTTTGTTACTATGACTCTGTGGTGTGATTTGAGATCAGATGTTAATATTGCTGGCATAACTTTTTCTGCTTAGAATTGCTTTGGCCATTCCGTGCTTTTTGTGTTTCCACATGATCTGTAAGATTGTTTATTCTTGTTCTATAATGACACTGGAGCTGGGCAGTGGTGTCACACACCTTAATCTCAGCACTCAGGAGGCAAAGGCAAGTGAATCTCTTTTAGTTTGAGGCCAGCCTGATCTATAAAGTGAGTTCGAGGACAGCCAGGGTTACACACAGAAATCCTATCTCACAAAAGAAAAAAAAAAGAATGTCACTGAACTTTTGATGTAAATTATGTCAGATCTTTCAGTAACATTGCCATTTTACCAGTTAATTAGTCCAATCTATGAACATGAGAGTTCTTTCTTCTAATGTTTTAATTTTGTTCTTCAATATGTTAGTATTTTCTCTCTCTCTTTTTAAAAAATATCTTAGTATTTTCATTGAAGTGTTTTCTTGGTTAGGTTTATTCTTAGTATTTCCCCCCACACTGTAAATGAGACACCCTCCCCTAATAATATTGTTCCAAGTGAATATTGTAATTTGTTGGAGAATACAGTTGGAGAAATCATTTCTTTTACTTTCTCGTATCTCACAAGTGATGGTTCGTTCTAGCAGCAGATTCCCCGTCCCTCACAAGAAGAAAAACTAGAAGAAAAAGAAGAGGATAAAGCAGAAAAAACAGAAAAAAAGGAAGAAGAAAAGAAGGAGGATGAAGAAAAAGAAGAGAAGGAAGACTCAAAGTGAGTTGAGTAGTTAGATGGTGTTAGAGTTACTTTTAGATTTGAACCTGTATCTATCACAGGTGTGAAACATGTGTGGAGTCCACAAGAACATGTGCTTTGGCTATCAGTTCTTGGCATGATGAAGTAATGCAATATTTTAGTAAACAGAATGATTGACTTAAAGGCCTTATTTGCCAGGCATGCCAATGCATACACATAGACCCCCCCCCCCCTTTTTTTTTTTTTGATGTTTGTTTAGAGACAGGGTTTCTCTGTGTAGTCCTGGCCAACCTGGAACATTCTCTGCAGACCAGGCTGGCCTTAAGCCTCTACCTCCCTGATTTTTATCTTTTTGACTTTGATTTTTGTGGGGCCTACCACCCAGCTCCCATTTAAGTCACACACCGAGAGACCTGTTATTACTTATAAATGCCTGGCCTTCGCTTGTCATATTTCTTACCAGCTCTTCTAAATTTAATTTACCCCGACTACCTTTTAGCCCTCTGGACTTTTTCTATTTTCTTACTTCTTTATGTCTTACTCATGGCTGGCTAGGTGGCTGGGTGACTGTCCCCTGATGTCCACCTCTCCTCTTGCTTCTTCTCTCTCTTTCCAGATCTCTCTTCCAATTTATTTTCTCTGCCTGCCAGCCCTGCCTATCCTTTCTCCTGCCTCACTATTAGCATTCAGCTCTTTATCAGACCATCAGGTGATTTATACAGGCAAAGAATCACAGCTTAACAGAGTTAAATAAATGCAGCATAAACAAAAGTCTAATTTTTACCACAAAGAAAATAAACTCCATATGTAGTTTTTTGATACCATCATCTTCTCTGAAGTAGATTGGTGCTGCTAGGAGCAGATGTGTCTCATTTTCATAAAAAATGTCATGTTTTTAAAATATCTTAAGTGTCATATTCTGTAGATCTCTAAAGTGTTCGAAGACTACCTGTCTATCTAAAATAATATCTGTTTTGACCTTGAAACCATACCTAACATGACTTCAAATTTGATTGTAATGGGTGACTAACTACTAACTTGCATGTCGTTAAGATTTCGTAATAACTTTTAATGACTATCAATTTACATTGTTGTATGAGCTGTATAGGTAAGAGTAAAAGCACAAAAATTACATCAGATTTGTATCAATATAAAAAAATCTATACCAATGCAAAATATTTAAAGACTAATAGTTGCTTTTTTTGGTTTAAAAGTAGATCCAATCATCTACCCTTTTATCCTATTATTTTTATATCCCCCCTTTTTCTTTTCAGAAAGAAATCCTTGAATCTTAAACTCCTTTGTTCAGCTTTTTTCCTGACCATTATCATTAATAACTTGTAACAACCCCCCTTAAATGATAATAAATATCCATAACCCATCTTTTGGGAATGTGCACATACTTCTCTAGATTGTTTTCTGTTGTTTGTGGGTGCTGTTATCTTCAGGGAGCCCTGAGAAAATTGAGATAATAATGAAGTCCCAGCTGGGTAGTCTGTGAGGATAGACTGCTAGCAGCCTTGAAGCTGTTCTGGATGCTGCATCATCTGGGCCATCCGTTTTCATTGGTGTCTAGCACCCTTGCTCTGAAAAATACATAAACTTTTAAAGGTAACCTTCATATCTGCATTAATATAAGTATAGACTGTTCATTGTATATGAGCCCGCCAAAGATGAATTTTGTTATGTGCTTGAGCAGGTAAAATATACGTCATGTGTACTGAGTCCTGGGATTAAAGGGCTGTACCACCCCTGCCTGGCCTTTATGGCTAGCAAGTATGGCTGCTGGGATTAAAGTTGTGTGCCTCCACTGCCTGGCTCTATGGCTGTGGCTAGCTTTGCATTTTGATCTCCATTGGCTTTATTAAAATAATATATTATTACATAATACTAACTCTTCCAACTTAAATTATTTTATTAATCCATGTATTGCCAAGTGGCTCGTGGCTTTACTTGTCCTCCAGCATGTCTTGCTCCCTCAGTGTCTCCTGGTGACTCCAGACTCCTTTTTCTTCCCAGCATTCTCCTAGTCTGACTCTCCTGCCTAACCTTATTCTGTTCAGCTGTCAGCCAGTCAGCTTCGTTATTAAACCAATCACAGTGACATATATTCACACAGGGTAAAGGAATGTTCTACAGGAGTTCTTATTTCTGTTTTCTTATTTTGTATAAATAATTTGTTTTCATTTTGTTAAAATGGGAAAAGAAAGCAAATCTAATGTACACCCATCATTTTGTCAATCAGTTGCTGCCAGCTGTTGGTACTTTTGTATGTTTATAAGGGCATGCTGTGGGAGGAGCCTTAGGAACCAGATTATTTCTTCCCAGTGACTGAAACGGAGCAATTTTAGTTTGTGTGCTGCTCATGTGACTGATGTTAGACAAAAGTTCAGTGGTTGTAGAGGTCATTATGTGTTGGTGCATTTAAACAAGCACATGCAATTGTGTGTAATCACGATGTAGAATGTGTCTACCATCTTAATATATTTCCTTGGCTTTCTTAGTAGTCAGGTTTTTCTGTCGACTCTTAGTACCTGATTCATAGTGTTCTAGAATTAATTATAAATTGAGTTGACCTTTTATCACTATAAAAAAAACACCTCATGAATCAGCTTAGAAATGGAAAAAGTTTTCTTTTGGCTTACAGTTTTAGAAGTGTCAGTCTGATTGATTGATTCCATTAGTGGTTTCACAGAGAGGGAGGAAGAGAAGAAAGAGGGAAAGAAGATCTCTCAAAATTCCCTTTATTTCCACCAATGCCATAAAGACCTTCTGCTAGCTTCTATCTCTTCAAAGCTCTAGCACCTCTGGACATTACCCATTATGACCAAGTCTTTAACACTTAAACTTTTGCAGGACATTTAGAGTGTGTAGACTGGTTTCTTTTACTCAGCTTAGCACAAGTAGAAGAATGTATTTTTGGGATTCATCTTGGCCATTTCATATTTCAGTAGTTTATGCCTTTAAAAATATTTATTTTACTATTTTTATAGACCTCTCAGAAATACTCCTATTTTTTTCTGGTTTTTGTTCTATTTTGTTTTTTTTATTTAACACCATGTAAGTCCCCTGCATGGTTTTAGAAGAAATCAGGGGCTAGAGAGATGGCTCTGTAGTTAAGAACACTGGCTGCTCTTCGAGAGGACTCAGTTTTGATTCTCAGCACCTACATGGTAGCTCACAATAATCTGTAGCTTCAACTCTAGGGGATCTGATGGCCTCTTCGGCACTTTGCCAGTGCCAGGCATGTACATGGTACACAGACATAATACTAGGTTTAGGGTTAACATTTTCATACCACATAGTCAGTGGTTCTTCTCATAAAGAAATATATCTTTTTAAAGGTATATTTTTGTTTGTTTAACTGTTTTTGTTACAGCTTTTAAAACTGCCTTAAGGTGATTCTACCTTTTTCTTAAAAATTCTAAGTTACTTAACATGTATTTACAGGTAATAGTATATGGTGCAGGTCTTAGGATGAAAAAAATGCAAATGTTATGTACTCTTCTCAGTTTGTAAGTAAGAGGAGAATACTAGGCAAGATAGAAGCAGGGTTGAAAAAAGCTTGAAAATACAGATTGAGCAGAATCAGTGAGATGCATTGGAAGACACAGACATGAGTAAGTAGGAAGATAAATAGCTCACAGTTAATGTGGCAGAAAAATTGGTGTGAATCGCTGTACACTGAGAACTAGGCAGTGATTTCATTAGATTGAAGGGGAGGAATAGAAGGTAGATTGTCTTTGGATTTATTTGGTAGAGCCTTAGTGAAAGCTGAAGTTGTTAGATTTTATTCAGGAGATGGGTGAGCTTGTAGGTAGGGAGCAGAATTTGTTGTTTATTATCTAATTGCTATTGCCAAGTTAACTCTTTTTCCTGATTCTGACTTAGACTATGATAGAATCATTCTTGAAGCATGTGTTTATTAGAAGAGAAGATCTGTTTTTTACTTGAACAGTTTACTACAACAGTTTATCTATTACTTGAAGCAGTTAAATTGTAAAAATAAACAGCATATTCCACTGATTCTTGTGAGTACTTTGAAAAATGCATTTTCTCATTCTTTGTAAATTTCTTACATGCACACAGTGTATTTGATCATACTACCCTCTAAGTCCTTTCAGATATAAATTACTTTAACTATTCTATTTTCAAATGTAACACGTATCATCAGTAGTACAGAGGATGGTCTTCAAATACTCAGATATTTCTTATAGTAATAATACTATTAATAATATTCACCATTAATTATATTTACTTAAGTACTTGAGACTATAAACAAGCACTTTATAGACTGAGGGAAGTTTCCACATAATAGTAATAAATTTGTATTATGTTCCAGGTAGTGTTACTAACTTCTTCAATTAATACCTTTAATCCTTGCAACTACTCTGTGAAATATATTATCACTAACAGTATTTTACAGCAGAGCGAACTGAGACTCACAAAGGCTCACAGAGGCAGGGTAGCTTCCCAGGGTTTGTCAGGGTTCATAAGTTACAGCTCTTAGAAGAAAGAACTCAGGGAGCCTTATCAAGAAGCTGTTCTGCCAGCATGGAGCTAGTTCATTCAGAACACTGGATTTGGTTTAGTAAAATAGTATTGTGGATTATTAGTACGCAATAGGTATCTGTCATGAGGATTGTCTGTTTTAACTTCATTTCATACAATAGACTTTTAACAGAATTTAAGCAAAGGCAAAACTCTCAGGCCTTTTGCCTTCTGATGAAGTCTGCTGTTCCATTTCAGGTCTCGGCTGGCATCTGAACTGGTGCTGCTGTCATCTGATATGAATATCTGGTTTTAAGTTAATTCACATGAAATATGTTTAAATTTTAAGTATTTATATGTGATAAAAGTCTTTTGACATGTCTTGAGTAAGTCAAACTAATGAAAATCTCGAGTTTTTCATAAAAGTTTAAAAAAGAGATTACATAAGTTTATGGGGGGGGTTCTATTTAAAAAGTCTTCTTTGCTGTATCTATACTTTTAAATCACAGAAGCTTTCATTTGCTTTTGTTTCTAGAGAAACTGCCAAGGAAAAGGATCGAACGGAAGGCACAGCAGAAGAAACTGAGGAAAGAGAGCAGGCCACGCCCAGGGGACGAAAGACTGCTAACAGCCAGGGGCGCCGGAAGGGCCGCATCACCAGGTCCATGACAAGTGAAGCAGCAGCTGCCAGTGCTGCTGCAGCCAATGAGGAGCCCCCCCAATCCCTGCCACCACCATCAGAGCCCAGTTAGTTGAAGATATTGCTTTGTTTGGGGTGTAATCTTATCGGTTTTTGTTCGAGTGATAAAGTAGGTCAGGGCCTGCTGTTTTGATAAGCAAGGCTGTTCTTTAATTTATTAAACTTGAAAGTAAAATGTTCATTCATTTATGTATGTGTTTGTGCATCTGTCTGTGTAAGTGTTGGTGCATATGGGCCACTGGTCATGTATAAAGTTCCTAGAACCTTATATGATTGAACTCTGATTGACAGGCTTATAGCACAAGTGCCTTTACCCACTGAGCCATCTTGCTGGTTCAGTTTTACAATTTTCCAAAAATTATTTTAATGAAGAGTTACATAATGTGATTGTATATCTCTCCTCTCTTTAAAAATTTTCTTGAGATTTAATTATTTTTATTATGTGTGTGGGTGTTTGCCTACATGTATGTCTGTGCACCGTGTGCATTCCTGGTGCCCTTTAAAGTCAGAAGAGGATGTTGGGCTCCCTGGAACTAGAGTTAAAGACAGTTCTGAGCTGCCATGTGGGTGCTGGGAATTGAACCCAGGTCCTCTGTAAGAGCAGTGGTTTACCTTTTGATCTTTCCAGCCCCAGTTTTATAATTTATAAGTATTCATAATTTTCATTTTACTTGTTAAATACCTGTGCTATATTTACATATGCATTTCCCTTCTGTTGAGTAGTTGAACTGTCTCTTTTCTCCATTTTAAACCAGTATGGATAGCATACAATGAAAGATGTCTTCCTGCACTTAACATGTTCTGCTAAAGTAAGGAATAAATTCTTAGGCAAGATATACTAGGCTTAAAAATAAAATTATATTTTTTCTTGTATAAAGTATTGTCACATTATTCTTTAAAAGGATTAAATACTGATGCATATTGTACAAATGACAAGTGTGATGCATTGGACAAAATGAATGAATGAAAGGGAGGGTGAAAATGGGCCAGGGCAGGTCATGGTAGACTTGGCTTTCCCGTGGACTGTGTCTTCCTTTGCTGCAAAGCAGGGAGCTTGCAAAGAATTTTCAATAAGTGAGTGATCTGATTAGGTTATATGCAAAGATGATCCTGGTGGCACAGGAAGGAAAAAGCTCTGTGTTCTTTTGTTGTTGCAGTAGAGGGGAGAGGAGGAGTTTTGCTAAGCTGGAGGTAGAGTTTCTCTCACCAACCATGTGGCCAAAGGTAGAACTTTGCTATCTAGTTTGCTGTTGAGAGGCTGATATTATCTAATTTTATACAAGATAAATAAATTATCAATTACGTGGTTTTTTGAATATATGGTTCAATTTTGATTTCTGTAGCCTAAATTGTTTCTTTATTTCAGTTTCTACTGAGCCTGTTGAGACCTCACGATGGACTGAAGAAGAAATGGAAGTTGCTAAAAAAGGTAATAACAATTTTTAAGGTTTGGAGTAGGTTTTTTTGTTTTAAGATTAGTAGTGAATGAAATCTTTTTTTTTTTTTTTTTTTTTTTTTTTTAAAATTGAAAGTACAGGCCAGGGGCTAGAGAGATTGCTCAGCAGTTAAGAGTGTTGCTGCTCTTCTAGAGGACCAGTTTCAATTCCCAGCACTCCAGTACCAGAGGATCCAGTTCTCTGGGTTCTGTGAACACCAGGAATGTACATGTTGTATAGGTATATAAGCAGGCAAAAAACCTAATGTCACATGTGCACACCTGAGGGCAAGTGCGGCGCACACACAAAGACTAGGCTGGCTGTGGCCACTTAATAAGTTCAAGGTCAACCTGGGCTGTGTGACAAAACCTCATCTATACCCCTCAAAAAGACGGCAAATAGAATTTTATAGCAAACTTAAGAATTCTTTTTTGATGATGTAGTTGAAGATGTTCATGTTTGAGGAATTATAACTCTTTCTGACTTTTATCTTGATTATTATTGGAGAGAAGGGTGTTATTTTCATGTTTCTACGATAGTTGTGATTACATGTGTTAGAAATTCTTTGGGCATAAATTTTCAGTGTGAAATCTACATTTCTATTGCAAGTTGATTGAATAGAATGTAGGCTATTTTGTCTTGTATTTGATTAAGTCTTTCTTATAAAAGTTGGTTAGTTTAGTGTGTATGCATGACATATACAATGGAGCGTATGTGGAGGTCAAAGGAATCCTGTTCATGCATTTTGCTATTGAGGCAGGTTCTCTTTGTTGTGTTAAATATGATTCCTGCCTTATGGGGTGTGTGCCACTGCTTTGTATGTGGGTTCTGGGGTTCAAACTCAGATCATTAGGTTCATTCAGCAAACACTGTACCCACTGACCCTTGGGTGTTGTTTCTCAGGAGCTGCATGTCTTCTTTTAAATTTTAAAAAATTTCTTAATGTTAACACACACACACACACAAACACACACACACACACACACACACACACGTATATACGATTAGGATGGATGGGTGTTATGGTGTGTATGTTGGGGTCAGAGGACAACTTTCTGGAGTTGGCTCTTTTTGTCTATCTTTGCCATGACTTGAACGTAGTTTTTAAAGCTTATGGTCCAAGCTCGTTACCAGCTGAGCTATCTCTCCAGCCTGACTACCTAAGGCTCACCAGTTAGGCTTATATGGCTGTCTAGTGATCCCCAGGGATTGTCCTGTCTCTTCTTCCCAAGTTCTGTTATTATAAACAGGTGCCATTAGAACCAGATTATTTATTGTTGTTATTATTCATGTGTGCCCACATGTGAACATGTATGGAGGTAAAAGAACAATTTTTTTGGACTCATTCTCTGGGTTTTGAAGCCGTCTCCCTTGTTTATGTTGCTGGGTTTCTTATGCAGACTTTCTGCCCCATAAGTTGATTTTCTTCTCTGTTCTCCAACTCTCTTTAGGAGTCATGGAATTAAAGATGTGTATCATCACATCTAGCTTTTTATGTGGGTTCTAGAGATTGAACTCAGATTGTCAGGCTTACGGGATATGCAGTTTTACCAGCTGGGCTTCTTCCCTAGCCCCATACCCACACTTGTGTATGGTTGTCAGGATTGAAATGCAAGTCTTTTGATTCTGATGGAGTTATTCTCCCATTCCCCATCATATATGTCATATAGCCTCAAACTTAGCTTTGAACTTCTGGTCTTTCTGCATCAGCCTCCGAAATATTGAAATTACAGGTGCATGCCGTACCTGGCTGGTCTTCCAATTTTCATTGTAAAGGGAGCTATTTATATTTATCTTCAAAACGGATGTTTATATCTATTCACTATATATCTAATTTTATATAGCTCTCTGTATATTTATATATTAATTACATATGTGTATTCCCTAAACACATATGTGTGCTTGGATATATTTGGTGTGTACAGAAATACTAAATTGGTGTTTATTTATTTATTTTGGAGTTTAAACCCAGGGCCTCATGTATGCTAGTTAAATGGGTTACCCCTGAATTCTTTGCCCAGCCTTCATTCATGGTGAATCTTTAAAAAGGTGTTTGTGTATTAACTAACAACAATTTCTGTTTATAAGTTTCATATACATGGAAAATTTATATTTGATTATTATCTCTAAGGATCTTGTAATACCAGTTTCTCAGTTTCTAAGTATCTGAGCCATTACAGTAGATCTAGCTGTGTCTTTATCCCTGTGGGAAATCTATGTGAGAGACAAGATTTAGCTTCTCCCTAGCAAACATGTTAAATTTGGGGGAATAAAGAAATATAAGTGAGTTTAATGCCAGTAAGTATTTCAGTAGGTATTGACATATATTAGCAAGTAACTGAAGGTATACTTTTAGTGTTGTTGGTTTAACTTCAGTATTTTATAAGTAAGTTGCTTTAGTATTTCTCTTGCTTGTTTAAACTGGTGACTAATCACTTAATGTTTGATCTGTTTTGTAAAACGCAGGCCTAGTAGAACATGGTCGTAACTGGGCAGCTATTGCCAAAATGGTGGGAACTAAAAGTGAAGCTCAGTGTAAAAACTTCTATTTTAACTACAAAAGACGGCACAATCTTGACAACCTCTTGCAGCAACATAAACAGAAAGTGAGTAGGATAGTTGTGGTAAGTCTTCTGTTTATCAGTTTTTACTTAAAAATGGTTTGATCACCAGAAGCCACTTGGTAGAAAGAAGGAAGCTATCTTTGGCTTCCATAGTTATGATATGTGTGGGTACACACATACACACTTTATCTTTCATAATAAATAAAAATGCAAGTTTAAAAAAAAATCTCGGGGTTGGGGAGATGGCTCAGTAGTTGAGTACTGGTTGCTCTTCCAGAGGACATGGGTTCAATTCCCAGCACCCATATGGCAGCTCATAACTGTCCAGTTCCAGGGGATCCAACACCTTCACACCAATGTACATAAAATGAATTTAAATTATTTTTAAAAAGTCTCAGTCTAATCATTTTAGTCATAAAGACTTTAATTGTTTATCTGTTAATCTGTCAAAAAGATCTCAAGAACACATTGCATAATTCTCATTGCGTAATTGTCACCTCTTAGTATTGCATATTATTTACAAGATTGAACATTCTGTTTTACCAACAAAAATCTCTGCCCTCTTTAGTCATAAACGAAAGGTAATAGTAACACCAAAAATAATTTGTTGCCTGTACAATTGTATAATGTTTTAATGTTTATTGAACCATAATAATGTCCGATATTGAAAATTACTTAAGCACATGCCTTTAATCCCAGCACTCAGGAGGCAGAGGCAGGATGATCTCTGTGAGTTGGAGACTAGCCTGGTCTAAAAGAGCTAGTTCCAGGACAGCCTCCAAAGCCACAGGGAAACCCTGTCTGGGGGCCGGGGCAGGGGGGGGGTGGCAAAACGTAACCAGGGATACATTCAGTGTATACATTCAGGTTTTCAAAAGTAGAATGTGTAACTACATGAAGCTATGCAAGACCTCTTAGGTGTGCACACAAAAATTTTAAGTATGTATCTGCTTATCTAAAGGAGTAAAAAATGTACCAGTCAGTATATTCAGAATGTCTAGCTATTTTGGAATTATGAGAAGTCGGGTTTTCAAATACAGTTTTCTGTCTCCTACTTGTCATGTTTATATTACCTTTGTTAGAAAGTGAGTATATATCCTTTTTATTGGAAAGATAAATAGTATCTCTATTGAAGGTGGTATAAAGTTTGCATTTTCCAAAATTTTTCAGATAAAGCTTTTTGCAGAAAAAAAGGGTTGAAGCAGGGTCTCTTGGGATAGCCCAGGTTGGCCTAGACCTTGAACACCCTGCCTCTGCCTCCAAAATGCTGAGATGTAGATGTCAGTGTGATTCAGTGGTAACTTTTGATAGGTTTCATGAAAGTCATCCATTGCCCAAAAGGTCTGTTTTTGGTTGACAGGTATTCCCTACACTTGAAGCACAGATTTTGTCACACCCACAGGTTTCCTGACTACCATGTGCATCTGTTAGAATTCTGTATTGTTTCAAGAATGAAATGTTTTGTTTTTTCCCTTTTGGTGATTTAACTCATAATAATTGAATTACTGTTTCGTACCTTTAGGCTTCACGAAAACCTAGAGAGGAACGAGATGTCTCTCAATGTGAAAGCGTTGCTTCCACTGTTTCTGCTCAGGAGGATGAAGACATTGAAGCCTCTAATGAAGAGGAAAATCCAGAAGATAGTGAAGGTATCTCAGAATATTACTCAAACCCGAAATTCAAGTTTAGTTGTTGATTGTTTAGGAATTGCGTCACTGAGGAAATAGGGTTTCAGTACATTCTTGGTCTAGGTTTGAAAGTAATACATTTATTCATTTGGTCAACAAGTATTTATTTCTGTGTACCTAAGATTGTACAGGTGGTACAGTCAGAAGAGTTTGACAGGGATCCTCCTGCTTCAGATATTTAGTCTTTGCCTTCCTCTGTGTATATCATTGCCAGATTTACTCACTCAGTTGTCCTAAGTTAATATTTGTTTTATTTTGCTGCCTTGAGGCTGTTTTTTTTTTTTTTCATATTTTAAGGTTTACATATCATACTTAGCCTTTTCATGCTTCAAGTCTGGATTACATTAAAACTCTGAGCAGAAATAACACCCACCTAAGAAACCAAGGTACAGTTGCTGAAGTAGATGAACGCAGCTTCCTGAAATGTGGAAATTGGACATTTGCTAGTTATTACTAAAACAAAGGCACAAATCATATTTCAGTTTATATTGCTACTCATCTGTATAAATTTCCTTTGTAAATTGAGTGTTTCTGCTGTGAGGATTCTTCAAATATTATTTGGTATATGCCCACTTTATTTCCTTTTTTATGTTTTTAATTAGAGATTAAACTGTGTATATTTAGGGTTGTTGGTATTTTCCTTGTCAGCTCTTATATAAGCTTAGGAAGCTCTGTACATTACAATTTTAGAAATACTGATTTTGTTTATCTTTTCTATGCCATTATTGTCTTTTAACCTTAAAATTGTAAACTTGAAATGGGTTTTAGTTTTTTTATAGTAATCCAACTTTTTCTCCAGTTTTGTTTTTGTTTTTGTTTTTGTTTTTTTTTTTGAAAAATGGGGCAAGTAATGTAAGTGTAAAGGTGTACTGGAGCAAGCTCACCTTTAGAAGAGGCCCAAGAGTCAGGACTGAGAATGGCACAGGGCAACTTGATGTGTTCATAAGCATCAGTCACTTTGTGATGAGCACTCTCATTTTCACAGCTGTGTGTCTGTTAAGTACTATTCCCTATGGTTACAAATGTGAATAAAACCTTACTAATTTCAGTTATTTGCAGTTACGGTGTTTAACAAACAGTAAATGTTACATTTAACAACTTGAGTGTTAGAAACCATGTCAACGTAACTTTTATTAAACTATAGTTTTATAATTGTTCTATTTTATTAATTTTTTTATTGTGCCTAATTTTTAAATTAAACTTTATCATAGCTATGAATGTATAGGAAAATACCAGAGTCAGTACTACCTGAAGTTTCATGAATCTGCAGGGGATATTGATCAGTACTCCCTATGGGTAAGGGGATAGCTGTATTAATCTCTGGGCTACCATAATAGAGCACTATACAGTGAGTGGGTTACATACTACAGGCATGTATTTTTACAGTTCTGGAGGTTAGAAGTTCAAAGTCATGGTGCTAGCAGGGCTCCCTTCTGATGAGATTCCTCTTCCTGGCTTGTAGACTGGATACCTGCTGCCTTTATTTTGCCCTCTCATAGCCTTTATGTGTGTATTTCTGGTATCCCTTTCTTTGAACAATAACCCACCCTTATGACCTCATTTGACCTCACTTATCTGTAAAGCAGATGCAGTCTATCTCTGATGCAGTCACATTGGAGGTTCGGAATTCAACATTGGACTTATGAGGAGGGAACACAGTTAGTTCAGTCCACAGTAATGTTCAAACCTAGTTTCATACCTTTTATCCATGGGCAAAACATAAGATTTAAACCCTGCAGTGGCTCAAATTCAAAACAAGTTATTTCACTTCTTCATGTTTTTGTTTTGTTGTTACTTTGACTTTTTTTTTTTTCCACTTGCAAGTATGAAAATAAGATAGCATATGAGTTTGATTTGATGTTCATATTATGGGCATCCTGTGATCTTGTGTCTTTTTAGCTCAGCTTCTTTTGCAAAGTGTCCTAGAGAATTAAGTTACTAGAGTTTACATGACCTATGACCTCATGTTTCCTGCTGACCCCCAAGAGGCACCATTGATGACTTCCCTGTATTATGTGCAAGGCCTTTGTGAGTAGAACATTGAAGGCAGCTAGCTGGTTGTAGACACGATAATTCCTATGTTCTCCTAAAATGTCAAGCTGCATATTTACCTAGGGTGAGAAGAGTTAAATCTGAAAAACTGAATTTTACTAAAATCTGGAATTAATTCTTAGATTCTTGTTCTAAGTCATTAAGGGCTTGCTCATTTATTTCCTTACTTTTAGAAAAGAAAGGTTTGTTTAGCTGTTGCTTTGTGAAGTAGTACTAGCTAGTTTTCTGTGGTTCTGAAGATGATACCGAGAAAGGGCATATGTTGGAATCTTTTAATGTTTTTAGGATAAGTAACTTTTAATTTTCCTCATTGTATAATCAAAACTAAGGGTTAAGTTGTGCCTTTTGATAGCTTTTCATCATTTTGTTATCTGATTTTTTGGCAATTGCTGCTATTTATTAAGCTTTACCTGAACTCTAGCACAAGCATCTACCTTTTAAAAGTTTCACTTGTATACCTAAAAGCCACTTCAAAGTTGATGTCCAGAGCAAATATTATAGTCCCACCAACAGGCTGCTGTTTCTCACCATCCTTAGCTGTGTCAGTTACTTAACTAAAATTCTCTTATCACCCATAAAGTCAGTCAACAGATAGTTCCTGCTCTGTTTTACGTATAATCTGGATATGCAGTCAAGTCTCCTTATTCCCATTGCTGGTCTCTCCTCTGTGGTATATTCTTGTTTGAGTTCCTTTGTTCTTTTGGTTGTATTGTTTTTTTTTGTTTGTTTTCTACCCAGAAGCTGGGTTTCTCCTTGTTTAATGTAAATCCAACCAAACTTAATCTCTATTCCAAAGTCTGAAACACTTCTCCATTTCCTCAAGAATACAAACCAAAGGCAGCCTTGGTGACTGACAGGACTACATGGGTTTACTATTGAGCTTTTTGTGGATTGTGTTTGTTTGCTCTCTGTTCCAACCATGCCCTTTACATGTTGTTTCTGAGCAGAATAATCCCATCCTGAGCGTTGATACTTTCTGAAAGCTGTACATGAATTCTCCCAGATCTACCCACAGTCCACTTTTTCTCATCCTTTAGGGACCTTTTCAGGACATTTCTTATCCTTTAAAGTCCCTCCTCTCACTGCTTATTTGGTTTATATAGTCACTGTGTCTATTGCTTTTTAGTATACTTGAAATATTTATTATTCATTGTTTATTTCACATTAGAATGTAGGATCTATGAGAATGTGCAGTTTGTGTGGGTTAAAGACATGGCTCAATGATTAAGAACACTTTGTGCCCTTACAGAATTTCCACATTTGGTTTACAGCACCCACATGGTGGCTCACAATTATCTCTAGTAACACCAGTTCTAAGGGGATCTGATGCACACTTCTGGCCTCCTCAGACAAGTGGTATATACACCAACACAGGCAAAATACACATACATATAAAAGAAAAAAATTTAAAAATATATATATATCATTTGATTTATTTTCAGTGTTGTGTCTCCAATACCTCAAACAACTCTGTGCACATATATATTTGGATAAATGAAAAACTGAATTTCTAGTTTTAAAATTTTTCTGTGTCAAAAATGTTTATTCATAGATGGTCATATAATACTCGATTTTCCATTTCAACAGTTTAGTTTTGTTTTAGTGTTTCTATTGCTGTGATAAACACAATGACCAAAAGCAACTTGGGACCAAAGGGTATATTTAGCCTATGCTTCCACATGACTGTTCATCATGGTCTCGAACTCACAGAGATCCACCTCCCTCTGCTTCCCGAGTGCTGGCACTAAAGGCGTGTACCACCACTACCTGGCTGGTTTACTTATCTTAATTATAACTCTCAGATCATACTCTATCATTGATGGAAGTCAAGGCAGGACCTCAAGGTGTGAACTGGAGGTAGAAACTGAAGCAGAAGCCCTGGAGGAGTGCTCTTTAGAGGATTGCTCAGATTAAGTGTTTAGAAGTTTCTTCTGCTCCCTAAGACTGAATGTCTAGGGATGGCACATCCACAGTGAGTTGAGTCCTCCCATGTCAGTCAGGAAAATGCCTCACAGGCATGTCTACAGGCCTGTCTTATGGTGGCAGTTTCTCAATTTATGGTTCCCTCTGCTCAGATGTCTGTAATTTGTGTCAGGTAGACAAAAACAGTAACCTCAACCTGGACAAACTTCATTGGCTTCAAAGTGAACCTATTTTTCTGAAGATATTTCTCTGTGTTTTCAGAAGTGTTAATATATATATATATATATTAACTTTTTTACATTAAAAAATTTTCACCAGAAAGTGTCATTCATGGAATATTTTGTTTAGTTTTGTTATTCCATCTTTTCTTTGCCTTTAAAATAAATTTTTTTTTTTTAGACAACTAAATGAGTTTTTACTTTCAATTTCAGAAGCTCAAGACAATTTGATCTTTCACTTTTGTACCTTTAGAGCATGTTAGCTTCTCCAGAAGCTGTCCTTACTTCCCCGATGTCAACCACAGGAGTCAAGTTCATCCTAAATAAGCATGGTTTCTGTCACCACCTGAAACCTGTTTATTATCAGATTTTTATGCTGTATCATTATCTTTAAGGTGCTGAAAATAGTTCTGATACAGAAAGTGCTCCCTCTCCTCCACCAGTTGAAGCTGCCAAGCCCAGTGAAGACAGCAGTGAAAATGCTGCTTCTCGAGGAAACACCGAACCTGTGGCTGAGCTTGAGGCCACCACTGACCCTGCACCCTGTGCATCTCCCTCTTCAGCAGTTCCAAGCACAAAACCAGCTGAAAGTGAAAGCGTGGAGGCCCAGGCGACTGACAGCGCCAGTGTGGAGACAGCAGAGCCAATGGATGTGGACCGTGAGGAATGTTGTGCTGAAGCCAGTTCTGTTCTTGATCCGCCAGCTGCTCCCAAAGCCGACTCTGTGGATGCAGAAATTCGGGTGTCAGAAAACACTTCGTCTAAAGGTGAAGGAGATGCCAAAGAAAGAGACTTGGAGAGCACCGGTGAGAAGACAGAGGCTAGAGATGAAGACTTGGTGGCGGCTGAGCAGTTGAATATCCAGAGGCCTGAGCCACAGTCAGACAACGACTCCAGTGCCACATGCAGTGCTGATGAGGATGTGGATGGAGAGCCTGAGAGGCAGAGGTGAGGTTGGACCTTGTTTGCTCTCTGCTGCTAACCACCACTGTGCTGGCCACAGAGATGGCTCCTGTACAGGTATTGGGGAGCTCCTTGCAGTCCATGGTTTTAATGTTGAGCAATTGTGTGTGTTTAAATAGTGCAAATGATAAATACCTTCTGTATCTGCACCGTTAAAACATGTAGTCTGTTGTAACGGGAGGGGGTAGTTTTCTGCCAACAGTTGTGAATAAAACCACAAGGAAATCATGGTGCCTGAGGTTGGCCGCAGTGGTAGGTGGTGAAGATGGAAATGGAAGGCCTTGGCTTTGACTGGGGGTTTGTCCAAGTTGGTTTGGTGTCCAAACAATGTTTGTCTTGCCAAGTGTCATAGATTAAAGAAAACGCTGTAAGGAGAAATGTCATTGTTGAAATGTTTTGAAATTACTTAATTATTACTGATTTTGAGTTTGGGGGACGGGCTTTTGTT